GAAGCTGCTCTAAACATTCATATACAAGTGCAGATGTAGATTTACATTTCTCTTGGGTAAATACCTAGGTACATAAATGCTGGGTCTTATGTTAATTATGTGTTTAACATTACAAGAAACTGCCAAACATTTCCAGAGTAGCTGTACCATCACCAGCAATATAAGAGTTCCTGTTACTCCACATCCTTGCCAACATTTGGGATCTTAACAGTGTATTTTGAAGAGCAAAAGTTTTTAATTTTGATGAACTTAATTTATCAATTTCTTCTTTCAGGTTTCTAGCCTTTATTTGGGTAATTTGTAAGTACACAAATTCAAAAATCATAAAGACTTTCTCCCCCAAAGATTAATAGTTCTAGACCTTGTGTTTAGATTTACGTCTATAATCAATTTCAAGTTAATTTTTTTGTGGGCTATGAATTAAGGGTTGAGATTCTTTTTGTCTTTTATTTTTGGTATATATGGATGTCTAACTGATCTAACATCTTTGTTGAATGTTCTGCCATTCCTGATGTATTTGATTTGTACTTTTTCCTACCTTCACGATCAAAAGATGACTGCAGTCATTCTAGGCATAGCATCTAGAACAATATCCAGGAGAGACAATCTCTTTCCACAATGTGTCCAGGAAGCTTTTTACACCTCCTATTACCAAGACTTGATACATGCTTATTGCGTGCTGTCTAAACTAATCACTGAAAATGAGAATGGGGTCACTATAACTCATTTCTTCATTCAATAAGAAAATGATTTTTCTATACCCTTACCAGGGGTTGGAGATACAGTAGTGACTAAAACAGGCAAAAACGCTGCTTGGCCTCGTGCAGTATGCAATTTACTGACAAAGCCAATCTGCCTATTGTCAAAATAAGTAAGTTAACTGTATGATACATTCCTGTTTCAGGAATGCTGGGGAGGAAATAAAGAAAAGGGGACTATGAAGTGTTGTGGATGGGTTGAGATTTTAGTTAGCATGGTAGGAAAGGTCTCACTGAGTTGACTTTTGAATAAAGACCTGAAGAATGTGATGGATACCAGATTAAAGAGTGGTTCTAGCCGGGCGTAGTAGTGCATGCCTGTAGTTCCAGCGACTTGGAAGGCTGAGGCGGAAGGATTTCCAAAGTCCAGCAGGCAAGGATGCGGTGCCTGGGAGCGGCCACTGCACTCCAGTCTGGGCGACAGTGAGACTCCAACTCAAAAAAAAAAAAATAAAGAGTAGCTCATGCAGAAAGTAATGTGCAAAGGTCCTAAGAACAGCGAGGCCACTGTGATTGAAGGGAGTAATAGGAAATGGGGTGGAGGATGTGCAGAACAGGTAGATCACTGTAAGTTTTTCTCAGTGAGGACCAATTTTGGCAAAATTTGGTAATGTCTGGAAACGTTGTGGTTGTCATAATGTGAGGAGGGAGGGAGTGCTGGGGAAGCCAGAGATGCTGCTAAATATCCTGCACAGGTCAGCCTACCTCTCAACCCTCCTCCTCCTGTACCCCTATCAAAGAATTAGTCTGACTGTCAATAGTGAACATGTTGAGAAACACTGTTTAGGTTATAGTAAGAACTGACTACTGAATAAATTAGAATGACACTGGAGTGTTTTGAGCTCAGGAATTGTTTAAGCTTTTAAAAGGGTCACTTGGGCCTTTGTTGTGAATAGCCTAAAGAGGTAAGAGGGTATAAAACACTTAGGAAGGTTACTAGAATTAGTCAGGCAAGAAAATATAGTTTGGGTCAGGATAGTGCTAGTAGGGGTGGCAAGTGGCGGAGTTCTATATATTTTGAAGGTTTTATGAACACATTGGATATGTGCCTGTGAAAGACAGGAACCACACATGAGTCATCTAATGTGTCTGGTGCCTCAGCTGCATCTTCCCAAAGAAAGGGACCTGGAGAAGTGATGGAAACAAATTTTGAATGAGGGTAATTTGGAAATTATGTATATTAGGATAGGCAACTAATGCATTTGTTACATGTATATCTTATGGAAATACATTTTTGGATTAGTGAATGACTACTTTAAAGGGCACAATTATTCTATAGACGAAGTTTTATTAAAAATGCTTTTATATCCACAGCACCCAAGTGTTTAAAAAATGCTTTCTCATGCCATCTTTCATTTTGATAACAGTTTGATAGATGTAAGAAATCTCAATTCCTTATTGCATCAAGGTCATTAAAGTGCTCCTATTTTTCTTTTAGTTTTTACATTCCAAGTAATTGTTGACTGTCCTAACTAAAATGTTGATATATTGCTTAATAACTGCTTTTTAAGCATTTGTTTTGCTTACCCCAAATATTATAAACTCACGATGAGTCTTTTTGTGTGAGAAAACTATTGAATACAGTTCTCTCAATTGTCATAATAAACTTGTATCTGATGGCCTCATTAATAACTGGGATTATTTCCATCTCACAGATGAAAAAAAGTTTAGTAAACTGATTACATTTAGTCCAGATTCTCCAACTAGTAAATGGCAGAACTGGGTCCTGGAACAATATGCCTTTGAGGACTCCCACGCTGTTTCAGGCCCTCCTAGCCACAGCACTTTTCGCCTTTCAGAGGCCTGGTTAGTAGAACTTGTGGCTTGGGGAGAGCGCAGCGGGGAATGGTCGATGGATTCGGAAGCTCGTGGTGCTCAGGTCACGGTACAGGAGACTTCACATTCCCCCTGCACGCATGCACTTCGCAGCGGTTTCCCACCCACCGGTGGGCCGGCAGCACGACAGCTCCCCTTCCCGCCTTAGCACCCCGCTCCCTCTGCTTCCCCGGGCGTCTCCCA